GTCCCAAGGGGTGGGACAATGCGCGTATTGCTCCGCCGCTGAGAGCGAGCACGCCAGGGGCCGGCGTCCCCTGCCGCGGCCGCAGGGGCGTGCGCGCGAAGCGGGACCGGGCACCACGGCGCCACAGACAGTGGCGGCATGGACGGGACCCAGCGTAACGCGGGGGCAGCGCGCACTGGGCCGCACCTGCCGCGTTCGACGTGCCCCAGATCGTCAGCTGCCGGATTGGGGCGTGCGAGGGACAGGGGTCAGAAGGTCGGTGCCAGTCACTGCGCGCGTCCCTTTATGCAGGCAGCACCACCCTCCTTAGCCCCAGGCTGCGGGCCACCCAGCCCCAGTGCGTCCCCCAAGCACACGCCCCGGACCCGTCACCGCGCCGTTTGCCCCTGCCCCGCGCCCCCTCACCTGAGTCCTCAGGTTCCACTCGTACAGCCGCTCCAGCTGCCGCCGCCGCTCCGCCGCCTTGGTACAGCCGCCGTCCCCGTCACCCGGCCCCGCGAAGGCGCGCGCCCGCGCGAGCGCCGGCCCCAGCATGAAGCCCTCGTGGGAGGCCAGCAGGCGCTCCATGTCGTCCAGCAGCGCCCCCAGCGCCGCGCCCGCGCCCGCCAGCAGCCCCGCGTCCCGCCGCGCGTACGCGCCCGCCGCCGCGGCCCACAGCCAGCCCGACGCCTTTGACATGAGCTCCCGCGCCGCGTCGACGACGTCGTACCTGAACGCGCAGCTTCCCGCCAGGTCCGGGTGCGCGGAAGCTGCCGCCAGCAGGTCCCCGAGGGCGGCGCGCAGCTCCGACAGCGGGTACCAGGAGTGGGGGGCGAGGCCCCAGCCGAGGATCTCTGCGCGGCAGAGGCCGGGGCGGCTCGTCGGGACGTCACACACCTTTTGAGGGGGAGGGGGAGAGAAGGCAGAGGAGGAGGGGCATTGGGATGTGAGGGCAACATGAGCCCGGGTTGATGCTGGCATTGCTGTAGGATGAGCGGGCGCCAGGGGTGCGACGCCGAAACATGCAGGCACGCAGTGCCAACGAAGAGTTCGATGCTCATGTGGGTGCTTGCATGTGCACGTACGCAAACGTGCCAGTATACGCACATGTGCGTGTGCATGCAGGCACACGCGCACGCACGCACCCTCTGGGCCTGCCAGCACCCCACCCACCGTGTTGTGGACGGTGTCCCTGCACGCGTACGCGCCACGCCCCAGCCGCCGCCACGCACGCCGCAGCGCGGCCGCGGCCGACGGTCCGGCGCGCCCCGCGGCCGCGTAGCGCCGCAGCGCGTACGACTCCATCCAGACGTCGTACGCGCGGCGGCCCCCATCCAGCGCCCAACCCGCCCCTGCGGCTGCCGCCGCCTCGCGATCCGCGCCGGCCGCCGAGCCAGGGGCCGCGCTGGCGGCCCCGGATGAGGCCAGGCGGGCGGCGCGGCCTTCGTAGGCCATCTCCGCCATGAATTCGTAGACCACGGGGTTCTGTTCGATGCCCTCGGGCGCCATGCCGACGCCGACGAGGTTGCCGCCCCCAAAGCCGCGGTGGTGGTCGCCTGTGCGGGCGGCGGCCGCGGCGGAGGCCGCCATCGCGGCGGAGACGCCCTGCGCGTGGTTTTGAGAAGTGTGGCGTTTTGGAAGGGGGCGGGATTGGTGCTCAAAAGACATGCACAGATCAGCAGGCCGGCAACGACAAGCGGCGTGGTCCCTTCACATACTGGGGGTGGCGACCACAGGCGCAAGCCCGCACAGACAAGGCAGCCCAGTTTGTAAGAGGTGAGGACCGCCCCACTGTGCGCCGCCGTCGTATCGTCGCCGCACCTCTGCAACCGCTGGCAGTGCGCCATAGATTTCATTGTTGCCCCCAAAGTTGTGCAGCATGCACTGCGCATAGATAAATGCCACGTGAAGGCGCATGATCAAGCGGAAATTTGAGGGTGTGATGTGTGTGTGCGTGACTGCATGTGTGTGAATTGTATTCAAAAAGGTGTGTGTGTGTGTGTGTGTGTGTGTGTGTGTGTGTGTGTGTGTGTGTGTGTGTGTGCGCGCGCGTATGCGCCCGTGCGCGTACGCACACGCGCGCGTGCAAAGGAAATGCATTTTTGTGTTGCTCATGCGTTTGAGTACGCGGTACATTGCCAGCACCTCCATGCGCGCGTAGCCGCTCCTGTGCAAGCGGACCCGCTAGGGCCGGCGTGGCTGCCGCTGCCAGAGTCCGAGCCGCCAGGCGACCCACCACCCCCGGGCGCATGAGGCAACCATGCAGCACCCATCGCTCCTGTGTGCCCAGAGGCGCGGCACCCACCCAGATGTAGGGGTAGCCGTAGAACCCCTCTGTGCGGGTCCACACTGGGTGCTCCTCCGCAAAGAGGTCCAGCACCACCAGGCTGCCGCGAGGGACACCAGCCAGCAGGGCCTGGTCGTGAGGTGGATGTGTGTAATTGTGTATGTGTAAGTGTGTGTATATGTGTGTGCGTAAGTGCAGGTGAGTGTGTTGAAGTGTGCGTGTGCGTGCGTCTCAGTGTGAGGGCATGTGTCTGCGCACGCCTGCCGTGCCTCTGAGCGAGCATTGCTGACAGGCCCCAGCAGCAGCACGGCGGGCCAACGGCGCGCGGACGTCAACTAGCCAGGCCTCGCAGGTTGCCAAGCCACAGGCATGCAGAAGCTTGGCTCAGCACGCACACGCCGGCAAACTCCACGCCCGGGGCGCAGCGTCGCGCGGCGGCAGGCTGTGAGTGGAATCAAGGGGGAGGGCCTCACCTTGATCTGCGGCGGCTGCCAGAACCCCGAGTCGCTGAAGAAGAGCCATGCCTGCATGACCCACACGCAGCCCGGGTCTGCGGAAGTCATGGCCTTGTAGATGGCGGCCGAGATGGCGGAGAGGTAGGAGGGGTCGGCGCTGGAGGGGCGCATCTCGTTGAAGCTGTGGGCAACAGTGTGTGTATGCGGCGGGTCAGGCGGGGGTAAATGGGGGAAGGAGGAGTCTGGTTCGTGCAAGTGCGCATGCGTGCATGGTGGAGGGGTGGGAGGAGTATGTTTTAACGTTGATGTGACAAGAATCCGAGCTTGTGCACAACGTTTTGCCCAGGGGTGACCCAAGAGTGAGAGTATTTCAGGTGCCAAGCAACACGGGGTAAATGGCGGCTTGCGGCAGGGGCGGCATCCATTGGAAATCAACGTGTCCCTCAGTGTGCCCGGCCCCTGACCTGTCTGCGATGTAGTACGACCGCCTCCCAGGGGGCTCCGGCCCAAAAGCCGCCCGCAGTTGCCGCACAACGGCGGCGCCCACGCGGGCAAAGAGCGGGTCCTGGGGGTCGAGCAGCAGTGGGCAGCAGTAGGCCTGCGACAGCGCAGCACGTTGGAATGTATGTTTGTGCGTGTGTGTATGTGCGTGTGTGTGTGTGTGTGTTAAAGGAGGGAGAGGACGGGGTCTGCAAGGGGGGATACTCGCCACCGCCTCGGAAGAGCTGTCACGCGGTGCTGTCTGAAGGACATGGCTGGCGGGCGCTGAGCCGCAGGCCTCGCGCGCTTGGAAGCCGGCGGGCTGGCCGCCTGGGCCTGCGGCGCCCCTGGCCACCTGCTGCCGCCGCACCTCCGGGAAGTGGCACCAGTTGCTGCTGCGCACTACGCGGGCGTCAGGGAACGCCGCGGCCAGCGCGCGGGGCACAAAGCCTGCGGATTCCCCAACAAGAGGGAGGGGTGGGTGCGGCATCAGAGCCAGGAGACACACGAGCACCCAACCATGCACATGCCGGCCAGGCGCAGGGTGCTTACGTGCGCGTTTGACTGCTTGTGGCGAGAAAGATGCGATGGAGGACCGGAGGGCCCCCAGGCTCACCAGCAAACGCCGGGAAGACGGGCGAGATGCCGAGCTCCCTCATGCGCGCCACGACGCGGCGCCCCAGGGCGGCCTGCTTGGCTGCGTACTCAGGCGGCAGGGGGCCGCCCCATCTGGTGAGAGGAGGGATTCAGGGGGAGGGGTGGGAGGTAGGCGGCCAGCGCCTGCAGCCAGGAAGCGTTGGGCATCACAGGGGCCGCCCAGACAGCACCTGGCGCACCGTTTGCGAGCGCGGCACCCCGGGGTGCACCTGCTGCACAGCGCGGGACCCTTTGCTGCGGCGCGGCGCAGCACACTCAAGGGCCCCTGCGCGGGGCTCCGCCGGCCCCCTGTGGCCCAGAGGCAGCTTTGCGCACCCCTGGATGTTGCCCATGCGCCCCCACGCCAGGAAGGCCGGCCCGGGGAAGAAGTCGGCCAGCCCGTCGGGCGCCAGCCCAAACTCCTCCTGCAGCGCGGCCTGCCAGGCCGCCTCCGCGCCCAGGGGCATGAGGGACAGGTTGACGCCCTGCAGGGCCATCCAGTCGAGCTCGCGCTCCCACCTGCCCGGCGCGGCGGCGCATGCGTGGGAGGAAGGGGATGAGAGCGTGCGACGCAGAGTCGGCAGCACGCGCTGCAAGAGGGCGTGGTGGCGGGCGCTGCTACGGGGGCGTGCTGCGCATGCAGTGGAAGCGGGTTCGCGCCTCAAGGGGATATGCAGCACGCAGGTTTGTTTCCGTTGCATGGGCCGTTGCGGGCGCATGCGCTGGGAACGCGAGCATGGAATGCGCGCATGCGGGTCGGGCGGTGACGCCACATGGCTGCGTGCCCCGCAAGGGCTGCTTGCTCAAGCGGGCAGCATGAAGCTGGGCGGCTATGGCACCACGTCGGCTGCCACCTCAGCTTTCCTTGACCCTGCATCGTGCGCCGCCGATCGATCCCCGCGCGGCCTGTGTCGCAGTGCTGCGGCTGCCGGGCGCACCTGTCCCAGTCCCAAAACGCAAATGAGTAGCTGGCAGTGACGACATTCTGGTAGAAGGTGCTGGGCACCGCGCGCCGCACGGTCTCGTCGCTGCCCACGCCCCCAAGCTCGTCCATGCGAGCAGCGCCGAACGCGGCTGCGTCGATCTGCGGCCCGCCCGTCGCGTCCCACGAGACGCTGCAGCCGGCATGGTGCTTGAGCCACCAGTGGGCGCCCGAAGCGAGCTCGACGGGCGACGTGCCCTCGACAGCCACGCGGCGCGCGCGTGTGGCGACGCGGAAGTGACCATGGGGCGCATCAGGCGACAGAGGTACCAGGCGGAGGTCGAACAGGTGGGCATGCGCCGGCAGCATGCGCCGCAGGAGGGCAGCAGCAGGGGCCTCTGGGTGCGCGGCAGGGGCAGGACCCTCCGCTGAAGGCATCGCAGCAGACACTGCCTGGTGCACCAGAAGTAAGATAAGAACTATACGTGCACAACTCCCAGCCAGCTTGGTGAGGGACGGGAGCAATACAGGATCGCGGGGCACTTGCCCCTTCGACAGTGCTTGGATCAACGAGAGACGGCCTGATTGTGATATTTAAATCACAAACAATCTCCTATGAAAGCGTCTGCATGCCTGCCAGGCTTTCCCAGGGGGGAATTGCCAAAAAAACCAAAAAGGCCAACCCAGATCAAGAACCTTCAACAACAGCTTCTTTTGCAGGTGAAAGCGTTTCAGAGCAAGCTGTCGATCACTTGGATTGTCCTTAAACCCTGTGCAGCCATCCACAACACTGAAACACATGGCACAAATGCAACCGTGGAAATATCGCACTGTGCCTCGCCGACACAGCCACCGGTGCATGGCAAGGGGCGCACGGCGTTCTGGACGGTGCGCGAGGTGGGGTGAGCTGGATTAAGAGCCCGATTACGTCTGGATTGGGACGAGGTGCTGGGAGGGGTGGGGAGGAGGTGCAGCTTGAAGCAGCAACAAAGATGACGCCCGGGGATGCCCTCTTCGTGCGAAGCGGGACGGAGCAAACGGGCGAGCTTGCATGGCAGCAAGTGAATTTTGCTGCCCCAGGCCCTCGTCAGGCTTCCCCCCTACCAGGTGCAAGCCCACATATTAGACCCCACACAGGTTCTTCTGCGTGTACTGCCTGCCACAACTTGTAGAACCCACAAACTGCAGAGTTTGCGCCCCTGGACCTGCGAATATGACATCAAAGATGCTGCGAGGGCCTGCCACAAACACGTGTGCAACCAGATTTTTGCCACCTGGCGCGATGCTGGAGCATATAGAAAGAAGCCCCCGCTGCAGGGCAAGGTGCCCACACAGCTGCAGCGCCGACCCTTTGCAACGTGCGACGGCCTGCACTCGCCGGCCGCCTCGATGGCGACGAACTCCCAGTTGTCGATTGTTACAGTACCATGGTTCGTTCAAGCTTGAACACCACCCCTGCAATTCAGCACGCCCACTCAGGGGCGAGCCACAGCTGCGGTGCACCACAGGCCCATGAGCAGCTGCCTACGTAGAACAGCGCGCGGCAACCAGTGCACACGGAGGGCCGCAGCAGGCTCGCAGCTCCTACCAGCAAGCAATCGTGCCACCTCCGCGGCAGGCGTGAGGCTACCGGAACCGCCTCCAGCGCCTCAGCGACCGCCCTCTGCGCTCAACGTGCCTGTGCCTGCCCCTGGTGCCACGTGCTCGGTGAGGCCCTGCAGGAAAAAACGACACCAGCAGCTGCTCGCCGCCTTTGCCAAACACCTGGCCCACCTGAGGCCGTCCCAACCTCAGGGCAGGTGCCAGGCGGGCACAGCTCATGGGTTGCTGCACGGCAGCGGCCAGCTGCCGGCAGCTTCTCTGAGGAGCCCTCCACCATTGATGGGCGCGAGCGTCCACAGCGGGGCGCAGTCAAACCAGGAGGGCCTGCTTCCCCTGCCAAGCTCACCACCTTGCACAGAGGGGCGCGTCCCCAATTTCACGACGATTGTGTCCTTCACCTGCACGAGAGAGCGCTGTGTGTCCTTCTGTACATCAGCACGAACGAGCCACTGTCCTGCACCTCAGCACAAACGGAGCCATTACTGTGTCCTGCACCTCAGCAAGTGCGACCTTCACCTCTCAACTTGGACCCTTTCTCTCCGCAAATGAATTTTGCATCTCTCACGAGACCCAGTTGATCCTGGAAAGCCTCCCCGCGCCAATTCGCAATGTGTTGCGGGGGCGCACGTGGCATGGCTTGGAGCAACCGAGCGTAGGTAGAGCCGTGGCGGCAGATGCAACGCAGATGGGCGCCGCTGCGGTGCTCATAGGCTCTGCGAGCTTTTCCTGTGGCCTTGCAGCAGGTCCACAGCAGACCGCAATCGCAGTCGAGTTGGTTAGTCGACAGGTAGATCACCCATCCCAAACTCATTTGAACGTCCTTTGTGAAACAGAAGTGTGTGCACATAATACACCAAAGAGATCACTGGTCGTTATCAAACCTTGCAGCAACTCGCACTGATCACATTTCACCATGATCACCTCTCGCGCGATCGTGCTGGTGCTCTGCGCCCTGTGCATGGGACTGGGTGCGTTGGCACAGGCAAAGAAGGTGGAGAAGGTGCGCTGTATGCACTGGACTCAAGTTGCCACAAGCTCTGGCTCCAGCCACGCGCAGCGGGGGAGCATGCTGCTCACGGTCTCGTCTCTCACCTGCAAGCTGTCGGGTTGGATCCAGCAGGGCAGCCCAGGGTGATTTGCGCGATACATCTGCATGGCGCTTGAAAATTGCTCGAACCCTCCACCGCATTGCAGGAAGTGACGAAGCTGCAAATCGGCGTCAAGTTCAAGCCAGGTGGGTGGGGTGCGCTGCTGTGGGGTTACCGTAGTGCAGGTGGAGATGTAGAAGCCACCCTATCAGCTGTGGCAGCTGCTGCATGTTGCCTATTGTACGCCGTCGGATCGTGTGCTGCTGGCCGGCATCTACGAGGCCGCCACCGCACGTTTGACCAGCGTGTGGCAGCCCAGCCTGCCCAGACCTGCTGACTCAAGTCTACCCCACATGACGGCTGACTGCCTCCGACACGCTGCCTTGACCCTCGGCGCGCTCAACCCCCACCTCTCTCCTCAGAGGGGTGCGACGAAGCACGCAAGGCCAAGCCTGGTGGGTTGTTAGCCATGCTTCAACCACATCGTGGTGGCTGCTTTCATCCGTGCGCCGAAGAACCACCATCTCTGGGCGGCAAGCTCGATCGACATAGGACAACAAAAATCGCAGCACCAGTCGCAGTGCTGTTCTGTACCTCTCTGTCACACCAAAACATACACACATGCATGTGTCGCACGCACGCACACCCTCTTTTGTGGCACTGCCCCCGCCGCCACTGCGCAGGCGACACGGTGTCGGTGCACTACGCTGGCCGCCTGGTGGACGGCACCGAGTTTGACAACTCGTTCAAGCGTGGGGAGCCCATCACCTTTGAGCTGGGCCAGGGGCGCGTCATCAAGGGCTGGGACCGCGGGATCAACGGTGTGGGGGAGGGGCAGGGGAAGGGGGGAAGAGTGACGATGTGTGGGGGCATCCTTGCCTAGCCTGTATTACTCGCTGCACTGCCATTTGCAGCGGTAGCTGGTGTGAATTCACACAGCATCACATTGCAGCCATAGTAGCAAATATTCGCCCATGCAATCTCCCAAAACTGCATGGCAATGCGTGGTGACGTCTGACACCGCTGCGCCGCCCCGCGCCGCAGGCATGTGCGTCGGCGAGAAGCGCAAGCTGAAGATCCCGCCCCACCTGGGCTACGGCGACAGCGGCGCGGGCGCCAGCATCCCCGGAAAGGCAACCCTCATTTTTGATGTGAGCACACGCGCAGCGCACGCATCGTACACCAAGGGTGCACACAGCAGGGGTGGCAGCCTGCATGCAATCCGTCGGCGTTCAGCACACCTGCACATGTGTCGGAGCGCCTTCGCAGGACGATGCATGCTGTTGCTGTGACCTGCCAGCACCCCTTCACAACCCACACAGGCTCACCAGCCCCTCAAATCTGTCACCTGCACATCCAACCCACTCTTACTACTGAATCTGACCCGCCCACCCTGCAGACTGAGCTAGTCAAGATCGCATAGCTGGACGCACCTGCCGCAGCCGTGCCGCAAGGGGCCCTGCCCTCAGCAAAACTCATCCTGTGAGGATGCGGCTGACTGATGCGGATTCGTGGCTTCAATTCTCGTGTCCAACAAGCACAGGACTCCCAACATTTACAATCACGTGACTTGCTACACTTGTAAACTTGTGTGCAGGTGCCCACCTCCAGCTCAACGGCTGTGCGGTGCTGCAAAAGGCACGATGGACGAAAACCTGCCTATGGGGTTCCCCCCCAATAGCACACGCAGGCAGAGACCCATGGGGTTCATCCCTCTGCATACATTCCTGCTGACTGTGACTGAGTGCGGCGCGTGCAGGCCTGTGCTGCAGCACAAAGCTGGGCGAGCTTGCGGCGGTGAAGCGATTGCCGGGCCAAAAAGACGGTAGCGCAGCCGGATCGCCCGCTCTCAAAAAACGCTGGGTGCCTCTCGAGTGACTGGCTGTGGCGGAATGCCGCAAGCACGCTGGACTCTGCGTGGCAAAAGCCAAACAGATCGAGTGTTGAATTGTAGATGTCTGGACTATCTCCATCTCAAGCCCCTGCACGGATGGCATAGCTGCGGATACTGGCTGCTGTGAGGTTGCTACACAGCATAGAATCACTGCATTAAAGCCTGCTGGGCGAGCCTAGCACAAGTATGCTGATGCCTGCTATTGTGACGCTCGCCACGCCCCACGGCCGGGCCATTGTGACGACTGGCTGCCATGCTGCTGTTGTGGGGCCCCATAATGTCACTGCCTAGTGGCGGCCCTCCTCTTCCTGGGCTGGTCCACCTCCTCGCCCTCAGCATCACCCTCAGCCAGCGGGGATAGACACGCGGCCTGTAGATGTGAGCGTGCGTGTGTGTGAATGCGCATGTGTACGGGCGTGTGTGTATGTGTGTGTGCACGCGCACGTGTGCATGCGTGAGACCGCACGTGGCCATGCATACCGCTCACGCAAGGGCTTGTGCCCCAAGAGTTATCATATGTAGCCATGTGCTACTGCGCCTGCGCACCTACCCAAACAGACTCGAGTAAACAAGGCGGCCACAGCTCGCAAAACAATGTTTGGCAAGCCAAGCCACCTTCCCTTGCAGCCCAGGAGCCACCCCACCAGCAGACACCTCCCCAGCGGCAGCTGGCACTCACCTTGCTGCGACCCTCCACGCCACGCCGCGCTGCAGCCGCCGTCCCCGCGCTCCTCTTGGCCCCTGCACTGCCAGAGGCGGACGAGGCGGCGGAGCGCCCGGGAGTCGCGCGGCCCCTTCCGCTGCCTCCGCCGCCGCCGGCGTGGCCGTCGTGGGCAGCTCCTGCACTGTCTGCATCATCTTCCGCCTCTCGGGCAGCCGCGGCCCGCGTGGCACGGCTCGGGCGGGCGCCGGCCGTGTCCTGAGAGCCCGCCGCCCTCGCCGCGCGGCCGCCACTGAGAGAGGTCCCCGCCGCGTGCGAGCGCCGGCGCGTCATTGGTCCCGAATCCACCTGTGCTGTGTGGCCCTGCGACTCGCTCGCGCCGCTGGCCGACGGGCGGGCCGCCTTGCTGCGCGTGGTGCGCCCGCTGATGGCGCTGGTAGATGGTCGGGGCTCCGCTTGACCTGCCGGTTGGTCCAGCTCCTGGCCTGACTGGGGCTGCTGCTGCTGCTGCTGCTGCTGCTGCTGCTGCTGCTGCTGCTGCTGCTGCTGTTGGCTGTCGGTCAGCTGCCGCTCAAGCTCCCGAATGCGCGCCTGCAGCGCCCTGCCCTCAGCGTTCACGTCCGCCGCGGCCACGTCAGCCCGCTGCTCCGGCGCTGATGCCGCCGCCATAGCCGCGGCAGAGCGAAGCTCTTCAACCTCCGCAGCCAGCCGGTCCCGCTCCTCTCGCAGTCGCTGTGCCTCTGCCTGCGCCTCTGCCGCCGCAACCTGCCCCGCAGCGCGTGCATCGTTGGCGGCCTGCAGCGCGAGCTGCGCATCTGCCGCCGCGTCGCGCGCGGCCTCCGTTTCCCGCGCCAGCGACTCGGCCTCTGTGCGCAGACGCGACGCCTCAGCGCGCGCCGAATTGGCCTCCACCTCTGCGGCGGCCGCTCCACGCCGCATCTCAGACAGCTGCTCCTCGGCAGCGGCCGCCGCGGCCGCTGCTGCTTCAGCACGCCGGTCCTCCGCACCTCGCAGGGCCACCGCTGCGTCTGCCGCCGAGCGCTCGTCTGCGGCGAGTTGCTGCGCTGCTTGCGCCTCTTCCCTCGCCGCCACAGCAGCTGCACGCGCATCCGCGGCCGCGCGCCGTGCCGCCTCAGCCTCGCCCTCCGCAGCCGCCGCCACCGCCTCGGCTTCTCCTTGGCGCTGCGCGGCAGCGGCCGCCGCGCGGCGCGCGGCCTCTCCGTCCGACAGCGCCTGGGTGTGTTGGAGGCGGGCGGCCGCCAGCTCTGCCCTGCGCGCTCCCAGATCCGCCATGACCGCGTCGACCTGCCCCTGCAGCTGGTCCTTCTGGATCCTGGTGGGGTGCAACAGAACCCGTGACAGCAAAGGGGCTCTTGGCGACTCAGCGCGCACGCATGAGGTGCACCGACTGGGCGGCGGAGGCGTTGCTTCACCCCAGCTCCCATCATGAGCGGCGGCGTCCCGCGTGTCGCAAGCAGAAAGGATGTGGGAGACAGCAAACGGCGCCGCACCCGGCGGGGTACGCGGGATGCGCGAGCCACCAGGTCATGCCCGGCACCCTGCTGCTCCGCACCTGAGCAGCGCCATGTCTGTCGAGGCCGGAGTGTTAGACGTCACCATGACGGCCGCCGTCTGGGAGAGGCGTGGTGTCGCCGCCCCCGCGGCCTGCAGGTTCTGAACCTGCCTCCTGAGCCGCTGGTTTTCGGCCTCCGCTGCTTGCAGCTTGCGGCCATAATCCAGCTCCGCCGCTGCCGCGCACTCAGCCAGGTGCTGCGCAGTCAACCCAGAGGTGGGGCGCGGCGGCGTCACGCGGGGGGACATGCAGAGGATTTTTGACCAGGGGCCCGCTCGCACAACATGACTCGACACTGCAGTGGCACGACAAGCTAGGGCGGGACGGCGGCCGCGTCGGCGATACCCCTTGGCGGGCAGGCCTCTCTTCATCATGCGTAATGAGCTTTAGTCAATATTTACCCACCTCGATGACATAAGCAGGCAGACCCTGCAAAGCCATCGTGGCTTTGAAGCGGGATCTGATCTGATGGGTGCACAGGCAGCCTCCCTCCTGGCTCGAGCCTCACTCATGAACAAGTGACCCGTCCACAAAGCCCATGCTGTTGTTTTGGCGTACAGTACGTCAGGTCCCGTGTGAAAATGGCCGGCGCCATTTGCCATGACTGATGGTACCCAGCAAGAGGGGAGGAAGCAGGACCCTAGGAAAAGCTCGACGTCCCCGGCCACCATCTACAGCAATACTCTGCTTGAGTACTGCCATTCTTCTTTTGGGGCCTCGAACTGCGTGCTCCCGGGTGGTTGTGCCCCAGTTCTGATCGACACAGCGGGGCCCAAGGAACGGGATCCACTAAAATGGCAGCGGCTGATGAGAACGTTGTGGCTGCGGAGGAGGTGGTTGCAGAGCCCGTCCCGGCCCAGGCGGTCGATCAGGTCGCTGGCAGCAGGCCGGAGCGCGAGGACCTCTCCAATGAGCCGATCGACGAGAGCCTGCTCATTAGGGTGAGCTCTCGCCCTGTGTGCTGCCTGCTCTCCATTTAAGACGGGCCCATGCGGACCGGCGTGCACGGCCCAACGCGCTGCTGCCCACCTGGGGACGGCTGGGCATGGCCGCCTCTGCGCCCCGCTGCTGCTGGCACGCCACGCTCGCCGGCACCCAAAGATATCTGCAGCTTACACTTCTGGAAGGGATTTAAAAGTCTGCAGGCCCCCGCATGGGGCTGTGGCAAGGGCGAACCGCCGGCCCTTGCCCGCCTGGTCAAACCGCCCTCCCCCTCGGACCCTGCGCGGGCGCCCTGCGCAGATCAAGGGCAGGGTGAAGCGCCCCAACAAGCCGGACGACGCCGAGCGCAACACGCAGGTGCAGCTGCTGCAGGACGAGATTGTGAAATACATCAACAGGTGGGCGGGATTTGATGTGGGGAAAGCGGTCTGGGATGCGTGCTGGCGGTTGCCACTGCTGCCGACGTGGCCCCTTGGGCGCACCAGCCTCGGCTGCCGCCTTGGGCTCCATGACATGAGGGATGCCCTGGCCTTGCCCATTCCTGCTCTAGCAGCCCGCACTTCCTCATGGGAAGAATGCATGTGAGCAGCGGTGGTCGGCGGCAAGGCGGTGCACACCAACTTCTGCCTGCTGCCCCTCTTGCCTCGCTGCCTTGACGGCGCGTTTCCGTGCTCAAACCCTCAGGCAGAAGCAGATCAAGGAGATCTTGGACAGCAAGCACACCGGCAAGGGTGGCACACCCGAGCAGCAGAAGCTGCGCGACCAGCTGCAGCAGCTGCGCACTGAGTGGGACACCGTGCTGGTGCGCACCGCGCGCTGTAAAGAAGCGTGGATGCATCGCAGCCCTGCCGCGGCAGTCGCGAGGGCGCAACACGGGCCAGCAAGCGCCACACTGCCATCGCAGTGGGTGTGGGGGTGCATGCGGTTTTGTCGTGATCAAACTTTGCCCGCATGAGGGGCTGCAAGCGCGCCGCCGCGAACGTGTCCAATGCCGCCCGGCCCTGCCCCTTTTCCCTGGTTTGCAGCGCGGCAAGCAGCGCCTCCAGGCGGAGGACGGGGACAAGAAGACGGAGCGCGAGAAGCTGATGAGCGAGCTGCGGACGCTGCGTGACGCCAGCAGGGGCCCCATGAACCTGGAGACGCTGGACGCCAGGGTCGCAGAGTGAGGGGGGGGTCACTGGGGTTGGGGAGGGGGCTGCCGGGCAAGGACGATATGCGGGGCGAAGAGCGACGGACACCACCAGAATGGCTTGTCACGCGTCGCATGTGCACTTTGGAGGCCTGGGGGGTGGCGCCACAGGGGGCGTCACGCACTCGTCGTGTCGTGTCTTGTGGGTGAGGCTTACGTGACATCCAGTCTTGCCGGAACACGACACCCTGTTCCCACGCGGCACCGCACACCGCGGCGCCTTTGCGCCCCATTTCAAAGGCTGGAGTTCAAGCTGACGCACGAGAGCGTGAGCGCGGCGGAGGAGAAGCGCATGCGCGAGCAGAAGGAGCGCATGGAGCGCACCGACCGGCCCAACGCGGTGCGCGCGTCGGCGCTGTCGGCGCGGCTGGACGTGATCAAGGCGGAGAGCCTGGAGCTGCGGGCACAGATTCAGGAGATCGACAAGCAGGTGGGGCGGGTGACATGCGTTCACGTGCAAGCGTGAACGCTTGCTGGCAGTTGTGGTAGGACACATGGATGGTGTGGGGGGGGGGCTGTTGGTCGGGGCATCAGCTCGGCTTATTTGTGTTGTTTTGTGTGGGGCGTTGGTGGGCTGTCGTGCTCAAGCCTTGGCTTTGAGCATTGGATGATGGGCTAACCCAGCATGGTATGCAGACCAGAGGAGATGCTGAAGGAGGCCACTCCTGGGTCTGCCTGCGGGGCGCACCCAGACCCGTTTCCTTCCCCACCACGTACCCCCTGCCCTTGCCCCGGCCCCCCTTTCCCCAGCTCAATGCCATCAAGGCCAAGCGCGAGGCCACCAACGCTGAGCTGGACGCGCTGCGCTCCAAGGAGACGGAGGCGCGCAGCGACGTGCCCGCGCTGATCGCGGAGCGCAAGGAGGCCAGCGAGATCATCACCGCGCTGCGCAAGAAGCAGTCCGAGATCAGGGACGCCTTCAACGCCAAGTGGCAGGTGGGACGAAGACAAGGGTTGGTGACGTGCGCACCCAGGGGCGACGCGGCGGTGCAAGGGCTGGTCTGTGTGGTGTTCTGCTGGGGACTGCATCATCAGGTGCAGCAGCGGGGGGCGCCAGCCCTGCCAAGAGTCCCGCTGCAGCCGCAACGGCCCCTGCCGTCCACTGCTCTCACCCCCTGTGCTTGCGTGCGCCTCCCTCAACTGCGTGCGCCCCGCAGGAGTTCAAGAAGCAGGACCGCGCGTGGCGCGTGTGGTTTGCTCACGAGCGCAAGGCGAAAAACGAGGAGCGCAAGAAGGAGTACGAGGAGCGCCAGGCCAAGCGCAAGGCCGCGGAGAAGTCCCACAAGCCCAACAAGTTCGAGCAGGAGGTGCGGTTCACCGAATGTGTGTGCGTACGCACGCGTGCTGGTTTCAGACATATACTCTGTTGCGGGGCACCTCCTGGAGCGTCGTGCCCCCAAGATGCGTGCAAGCGAGTGCCAAGGGAGCATTGGCAACACATGCGAAACCTGTTCCGCAATGTGGTTTGTTCAGATTGTGCGCGTGAGCAGTTGCCGCGGCTTGGGCGCGCCGACGCCCCGCCCCTGCCGCTGTCCCTGCTGCACGCGCCGCAGGTGTACGAGTGCGAGCAGGCGATGGCCTACCTGCGCTCGCTGGTGGGCAGCGGCGCGCAGGCCGCTGCGGCCGCCCCCAAGGCGGTGGACGAGGCGCCGGCGCCCGGCATGAAGCTGCTCAAGAAGAAGGACGAGGACCTGGACGGCGCCTTCTCGGTCGCCAGCAGCAAGAAGGGCAAGGGCGCCAAGAAGGAGGCAGCGCGCGCCAGCGCCGCCGCGGCGGACAAGACCACCAAGGTGCGGGCCAAGCGGCCGACGGAGGCCCGCCGGGCTGGCTGCGAGCGTGCTTGGCCGGCTGTCGCGGATGGGTCGGCAGGCGCTACCCCGCAGCTGCGCCGCCTCGTTTCCTGCATCCCCGCGCCCCCTCACTCTGGGTCAGACCAGGGTAATCCCCACCTCCACCCCACCGCGCTGCGCTGCGCTGCCTTTCCCTAATACCCCCGCGACCTCGGCACACACGCCCCGAGCAGAAGCTGGCCCTGCGCATGGACGACCTCAAGACGTTCATGAAGCTGGGCGTCAAGGCCCCCACCACGCACGCCGACGTGCCGGCCGCCATCGAGGCGCTGGAGGCCAAGAAGAAGGACTACGAGGAAAAGAGGGACAAGGTGGGGTGGCTAACGGGGGGAAGGGAGTGGCCTGCTTCACGGAGAGTTGCTGGGGCCGGTCGTCGGTGGGTTGGCATCCACCGGGCACACGACCAGGCAGGGGCCAGCGCAGCTGTGGGCGCACACCGCCTTCGAGGCTTCCGCATTTCGACGACCGACGCTGCCGTGCCGTTGCTGTGCCCCCCGCCTCTACTCCAGGCGGCTGCGGCGGCCGAGGAGGACGAGGAGGAGGGTGCTGCCGAGGAGGAGGAGGTGGAGGAGGAGGCCCCCAAGGACCCGGTGGCGGAGGCCGAGGGCGACAAGCTCGCGGACGACGAGGAGGAGCCCGCGGCAGGCGTGCCCGCCGTGGCCAACGGCGGCGCCGCCAGGGC